AACAATTTTTATTATTAATTTTGTATTCTGCAACTTTACTGAACTCGTCTTACTAGTTCTGACATTTTTGTTGTTGTTGTTAGAGTCTCTAGGCTTTTCTATATATAGCATCATGTCGTCTGCAAATAGTGACAATTTTACTTCTTCCTTTCCAATTTGGATGCCTTTTATTTCTTTTTGTTGCCTAACTGGTGTATCTAGGACTTCCAATACTATGCTGAATAAAAGTGAGGATGGCAGGCATCCTTGTCTTGTTCCTGACCTTAGAGGAAAAGCTTTCAGCCTTTCACTATTGAGTATGATGCTACCTGTGGGTTTGTCATATAAAGCCTTTATTATGTTGAGCTACCAACAAAAAACATTTGTTGAATGTTTTTAATCCTAAATGGATGTTGAATTTTGCCAAGTACACTTTCTGCATCTACTAAGATTACCATAGGATTTTTATATTTGATTTTGTTAATGTGGTGTATCATGTCCATTGGTTTACAAATGCTGAAACATCCTTGCATCCCTGGAGTAAATCCCACTTGATCATGGTGTAGAATCCTTTTAATGTATTGTTGAATTCTGTTTGCTTGTATTTTGTTGAGGATTTTGCACCTATGTTCATCAGCTGTCTTGTAATTTTCTTTCTTTTTTATTTTTTGTGGTGGCCTTGTCTGTTTTTGATGTCAGGGCAATGCTGGCCTCATAAAATGAGTTTAAGAGCATTCCCTCCTCTGCAGTTTTTTGGATGATTTTGAGAAGGGTAGGTATTAAATGTTCTTTGAATATTTGGTAGAATTCACCAGTGAAGCTGTCTTGTCCTGGACTTTTGTGTGATCACTGATTCAATCTCCTTTCTAGTAATCAGTCTCTTCAAATTTTCTACTTCTTCCTAATTCAGTCTTGAAAGATTGTATGTTTCTAGGAATTTCTCCCTTCTAGGCTGTCCAATGTGTTGATGTATAATTGTTCATAGAAGTCTATTGTAATCCTTTGTATTTCTGTGGTATCAGTTGTAACTCCTTTTTCATTTCTGATTTTATTTGAGCCCTCTCTCTCTCTTCTCTTGGTTAGTCTAGCTAAAGACTTTTGTCAGGTTTATCTTTTCAAAGCACCAGCTCTTAATTTGCTGATCTTTTCTTTTTTTTTTTTTTTTTTTTTTTTTTAAAAATTTTTTTTTTTTATCATGTTGAGCGTTTATTTTTGTGAAGAGAGACAGAGCATACGAAGAGGAGGCAGAGAGAGGGGAGACACAGAATTAACAAGGCCCAGGACTCGAGCCCATCAGCCCAGAGCCTGCTGTCCGGCTGCAGCTCTATCGGACCCATGAGAGGGACCTGGCTGAAGTCGGACGCTTAACCGACTGCGCCACCCAGGCGCCCCTTTGCTGATCTTTTCTATTATCTTTTTAGTCTCTATTGCATTGATTTCCACTCTGATCTTTACTATTCCCTTCCTTCTACTAACTTTGGATTTCATTTGTTCTTCTTTTTCTAGTTCCTTTAAGTAGAAAGTTAGATTGTTTGTTTGAGATTTTTCTTGTTTCTTGAGATAAGCCTGTATTGCAGTGAACTTCCCTCTTAGAAACTCTTTTGCTGTATCCCATAGATTTTAGTATGTCATTTTTCTGTTTTCATTTATCTCTGGGTATTTTTTAATTTCTCCTTTGATTTCTTTGATTTCTCCAATGCTTGTTCATTAGTATGTTGTTTAATCTCCTTGTATTTGTGACTTTTCCAGTTTTCTTCTTGTAATTGATTTCTAGTTTCAAATCATTGTGGTCAGAAAAGATGCTTGATATGATTTCAATCGTCTGGAATCTATTGAGATTTGTTTTGTTTTGCTGAACAGGTCATCGATCCTGGAGATGGTACTGTGTGTACTTAAGAATGTGAACTCTGCTGCTTTTGGATGGAATGTTCTTGATCCCTCCCTGTTGTATGTCCCCACACTGGGGATGGTATTTTTTCGCCAAGATCATATTCTGTCCCTCCATCCATTTTGATGTTGTCCTTTTATCCTTTGTTGTGGGGAGAAGTCACCTAGTTTTCACACCATTTTCAGAGGTAAAAGAGGGGAGCACAGGATCTTCCTATGCAGCCATCTTGAAACCCTCCTTCTCTAAGAGCTTGTTAAAATGCAGTTCCTGATTCAGTAGGTCTTGGGTGGGACCCAGGATTCCACACTTCTAACAATTTGTCTGGTGATGCCAAAGCTACCCTAAGGGGAACCAGACTTCGAGTAGCAAGGACCTAGAGTTTAGGTCCTAGATCATTGCTCTAAGTGTCTTCCAGCTTCAATACTTATCAAGCCATCTCCACACCCATGCACCTGCTGGACACTCTGGACATCATCAATGACTTGCGGAGCCCCAGATACGGCATGATCTTCAAACCTGTGTGGCTTTGTACATCTCTCTGCCCTTCACCCCCCTTCACTGGATGAGCTCCTTCATGTCTCAGCTCACATGTAACATCTTCCATGGAACCCTCCCAATTCCCCAACCTCCCAGGCATTCAGGTCCTCTCTCCTCTGTGCTCATCACACATAATATGCTATTTACATTTCCTGGTCTGTACCCTAAGGTTGCTCAGGTTATGCCCCACACAAGTGTCCTTAACCAAGGAGACAAGAGGAGGCTGAAGTCCATTCTGTTCTCCACTTATTATTCCTGAGCACTGGCACAGAGCTGCCCCCACCAGGAGGAAGGGGTGACTTTTTCCAAATCACATAAAGGTGCCATAGGGGCTGATTGTCTTTTCTACCAGGCGCAGGATCTCATTCATGTTTCCATTTCTATCTCCTAGCCCAGTGCCTGTCACTGTACTGTATTGAGTGAAATGTTTGTTGAGAGATGAGAGAAAGAAATGAAGGGCTACTACAGAGAGGAATGTGCAGACGGTAATTTCATTTGGTTCTAATGGTAAATCAACTAAACTATGAGCAACAGATCTGGGGTTTGTGGGCACCTGGGTGGCTCAGTCCATTAAGCATCTAATTTGGCTCAGGTCATGATCTCACAATTTGTGAGTTCGGGTCCCACATCAGGTGAGCTTGAGGCCCGCATTGGGTGAGCTCAAGGCCCGTATCAGGTGAAACACAAGCCCTGCTTTGGGTGAGCCCCGCTTCTCTCTCTCTCTCTCTCTCTCTCCCTCTCCCTCTCCCT